CTTTGGGCCTCCACTTGGCACTCCCCCTCATTTGCAATGCTATGATTTTTTTGTTCTTTGATGCTTGATACCTGATCCTAGTGACACCTCGTGATCACACAGGCTAATGTGCTTCTTCCATGTGGGTTTTGTTGTTTCTGAGCTAGATGGCCCCTTATCTTCAAGCCTTTAAGATTCCAGACCCTATATATTGTAATAGCTGGGCACTATCAGCTTTCTTCACCACATTCGCTTATGCACCCGCTTTGTCTTCAGTGGTCCTCTCTGGAAGGTGAACATCATGGAATGCCAGTTTAATAGAACAAAGTGTTCTTGCATTGAGGGAGTACTTGAGTAGAAGTCCAATGTCCATCTGCTACCTTAATGCTAAACCTATAAATATATGCACATAGATCTATTTCCCAATCATCATATATAAATATATTTACATATGTACATGGCTGTATTTAGACCTCTATAAATGCCCTTTTCCTCCTAGTTCCTTCCTCTATTTCCTTTTACTTTCCTCTTGTCCCACTGTCTTGTTCAGCCTTCATTGTGTTTCTGTAATTCCTGTCGGTTACATTGCCCTTGATCAAGCCCTACCAGGTCTCCTACACCCTCCTCGCCTTCGAGTTTAGATCACTTGTTATTCCCTTGTCCCGGGTTTGTTAACACCACTCCCTTTCCCGCCTCCCCGGTCTCACACCTTTAGACTTCTCTAAGTTACCAAAACTCAACGTTGCAAAGGAACTCTGTTTGAGTCGCTCCAGGGTGACAGAGCTGCTGCTTCAAGGCCATGTCAGTCGGAGCGGGCAGAATTCTTTGGAGAGTGCTGGAGAGCTGGGAGGACATGTGGCCGAGCAGGGGCTTCACGGTCTGGTGTGTGTGCGTAGTAGAGGCTTCTTTGGTTTAAGCACATAGATACAAATCCCATCACACTGCAGGCGCAGGAGAGAGTCCTTCCTTGCTGAGTGAGGTCAGCCCTAGAATACCTTGACTCTGTGATGATGGCCCACAATGTGTGACCCTGACCTTCCAGGCCCCTCTTAGTGGTGCCCATGTCCACCACAAAGCCTCCCTTGGTGCCACCGTTGGAGAAGGTCCATGGTAAGCCTTCAGGGCCCCATTTTGCCGAAAATAGAGCCAGGCCTACACGCTTGCAGCAGTGATGGCTTGTGTTAGATGCAAGGCTAGACTTGTAGGTGGGTGGCCTTACCAGTCACCCTTGTCAGGAAATCATGCTCTGAGGTATTTGTCTTGCGGATATATAGTGTGTTTGCCTACGTGAGCAGTGGCATGTCCTTTTTGGCATAAGAGCAAAGATTGGAAACCAAAACACACAAGAAACCAAACCCACCACCCTACTGTAAGAGGCAGTGCTGCGTCAGAGCGACCCAGTGTCAGGTCTCCAGACAGGCGCAGACCTCCTCATTTCCCTCCCACGGAACAGCTGGTGGGATCGAACAACCAATCTCGCACGTAGCAGCGTAACACTTAGCCAACATCGCCACCAGGCGCCTTCCTTCTAAAACTGGGAGCACTGGTGAGGGGAGTGTGTGCCCCTGCAGAGCAGGAAGCAGTATGCAGCCATTGGCAATGAGGTAGCTTTAGGGACTTAGGGACGGGTCGAAGAGCGGGGCTGGTGTGCGCAGTTGGAAGGGCAGGCACGCCTCAGGCACCTCTGCAAATGCAGGCCTCCCGGGGCAGGGCTTTACTTTCCCCACTCCCCATGCTGTATTCTTATTTTGTATTCTGTACCGGTTTGTAGAAATCAAGTTGGTGACAACTGACCAGGACGTTACAGATTCCCCTGGAAGCAGGGGTTGAGTTTCAGAGAGCCTGCCCTCTCCCCAAGGGGTCATTGCCCTGACGGAGGAGCCAGAGCCTCTTGGGAAAGCCCAGCAGGCCCATGGGTGCCTTTTGCCCTTTGGGCCCATGTCATAGCCCTTACAAGGAGCCTGATGGGACACGGGGCTGTGCACCCAAAACGCAGGCCTCCCCTTCCTGGGCCCTGCTGCTCTGGACGCTTCCTGGCCACCACATTAGGAATGGGTGCCCATTCATGAGTGGAAAGGCTCCCAGATCCCAGGCCCGGACACCGTGCCAACCCAGGGGGGTGGGATGGGGGTGTGGGGGGTGTTTGTGTGTGTGTGTGTGTGTGTGTGTGTGTAAACCACTTGTTCTCTGTGTCGTTTATCTTTTTTAAAAGTACTCTTTCATCTGTTTACCCTGAATCAAAGAAAAAGAGGAGGGTGGAGTTACTGAACTGAGCGGCCCCGAGGTTTTGATAGCGCTGAAATAGGGAAGCAGTGGGGTATTTCGCCGTGTCCTTTCAGGAGGCTGAAGACCAGAGAGGACAGCAGTCCCGCCGACCGATCCGATCCGTGTGTGTTCGACAACCTCGGTGGGTCTGGGAGGACGTGGGGAGGTCCTGTCGAATGCCTCTAGGCTTGGCTGGACTTCTCTGGAAAGCTAGAGGGACACCACGCTGATGAAGTGGAGGGGTAGGGCTTCCTGTTGCTCAGTCGACCGACCTGACCCAGAGTACAAATATGGATTAGCATGCGTCTTCTAGATCAGGGCTAATCAGGGCAGGCTGAGCAGATGTAGCGCAGCCCGACCCACTGCCTGCCCGCAGCGTTCAATGACCCTTTCCAAGGGCGGCCTGCTCCCCCTAGGACAGAGGGACTTCCAGGCCCTCCCCCACCCTGCCACGGACACAGAGGCTGCTGGGTCACAGCCACTGAGCCGATTTCCTCTAATCCGAGCCAGAGCCTGTGTGTGGGAGGGAGAGAGGAGGATGCTGAAATCCCCACGCTGGGAGGGCAGAGCCGGTTTTTTTGAGGTGGAGGTAACCGCCCTTGCGACTCATGGCGCTGTGGTCCCGGGGTCTTTGAGGTTCTGAAGTGACCCCTGTGAGGGGGACTCCACACAGCTGAACGGACACCGTACTGTCACCAGCTCTTCACCCCGAGACAGCCGTGTGTGGGTGCGTTTCCCGGCGGAGGGCAGGCTCTGTTGTTCCCCAGCCTGCATCCTCAGAGGGACACTTCTGCAAACCTCAGCAGGGAGGTTGCATCCCTGGCTCTCGAGAAGGTTAGGGGCTCAATGATGGCCACGCAGCCGCTCCCTGAAGGAGACCACCACACAAACCGTGATGTTGCATCGGGTCCGGGAGCCCTGGGCTGACTGTGAGGGAGGATGGACCAGGAGCCCACTGGGAACATAGGTGTCTGGGCAGCTTTCCCTGGCTGAGGGCCATGAATGGGCTCGGACCACGAGACCTGGCTGAACAGCAGGAGCTTCCTGGGATGACCGACTGCCTGGGGCCTGCGCCTTCTGTACGTTGAAGGAGAGTGGGAAGATTCGTTTGTTTTTTCACAAGGGGGCTTTTTAAAAATCATGGGAAAACTCCATTATCTTGTAATTCCATTTTTCCACAAGCTTTTTGAAGCCCTTCATACGTTCAAAGGTCGTTCTGAGTATAGCCACGTCAGCCAATGTAATCGCTTTGGTATCTGAGCCTTTCTCCATTTCATCCTGAGCACGTCTTCCATAACACTAACAGCGTTCTAACAGCAGCGCTGCGCCTGCGCCCCGGCGCAGGGAACCCACGCACATCATCACGGGCCAGAGTGGATTCCAGCCCAGCGGCTAGCGTGTCCTCATGAGACCGGCCTTCGGCCACCAGCACGTGGGGGTCATTCGAGGGTTACCCGGGTGCCTTGGGTTTGCCTGGGTCCTCGCCTGACGTGGCCTGTTATGACCAGGAGAAGACCGCAGCAGAGATGGTGGCACACTGTGGGGTGCCTGTAGTCCCCGGCCAGGCTCGGGGGCCAAGCCGCATGCACACCAGTGAGGCCCATGCCCTTGGAACTGTGTTAGTGCCCACGTGAGACAGACCTCATACCATAGAGGCCCTAGAGAGCCGAGCCTGGCCCTAAAGGAGCCCTGGGCCACGTGGGGAGGCCTGTATAGATGCCTGGACTGGCCCAAGCCAGGTGGCAGAGTTCGTCCAGTGCCTGTGGAATATCCCCAGGGCATCCAAAGGAAGCCATCCTGGGTATTGACAAGACTGGTGAGGGACAGGCTTCAAAGAGGAAGGACAACTGAACTGGGGCTTATGGCGGGAGGAGTTGGGTAAAGGAATTCCAGGTACTGGACAACTTGAACAAAGACCCAGGGAAAGTTATGGGGCTACTATGTGGGGAGGGGAGCGCCAAGAGTAGGCCAGGGGGCTGCTCAGTGCACCACCTGAGGGGCGTCACACAAGGCCTCTTCCCGGCCCTCTGGGCACCGGCCCGGCTCCTACCCTGCCGGTGCAGCCGCCCAGCCTGTGTTGGCATTCCTCATTTGCACCCCCACCCCCATCCTAAACTGCAGTTTTCCTTCCATGGAGAAGACGGGGTCGGTGGGTCTTGCTGGGTGTGTTTGGGAAGCAACCGTGTGAAGTGACCCGTTCCCCTCCCTGGGAGGCCGGCCCTGGGCCAGGACCTCAAGCCTCTCCCGGCCGGTGATCACCATGGTGGGGAGAGCTGTGTTTTTAAACGGAACACTCTAAGACTCAGGCCACCATGACCTCTTGTGTCGAGCAGCCTCTGAAGAGGGTCTGGCTGGAGCTCGGCCCGCGTGAGACGGGAGTGAGGGAGGGGACAGGCCTCGCTCAGGCAGAGAGAGAGAGAGAGACTTGAGCATCATCAGGGGGGTCGGAGAGGGCAGTTTGCCAAAATCTCAGAGGGTTTGTGGGGGCCAAGCAGTAGGCTTGGGTGGGGAGGAAATCACCCCAGTGGGCCTGTACTCCCTCAAGTTGAGGCAGGCAGGGCCGTCTCTTGGCAAACGGGCCGCCCTGCCCTCAGGGATCGTTCACAGTTTCTCCAGACCTTTCAATGCCCTGTGAGGACTGAGTGGAGCCAGGTTGGTGGGTTGGGCGGGCCAGGGGCTGGCAGAGTGGCCCAGGGGTGGGGCTGGAGGTCTAGACCCTGAGCACAGCGCCCCAACGTCTCCATTTGTCTCCCCAGGATTGGTTCAGATCCCCGTGAGCATGTACCAGACCGTGGTGACCAGCCTCGCCCAGGGCAACGGGCCTGTGCAGGTGGCCATGGCCCCTGTGACCACCAGGATCTCGGACAGCGCAGTCACCATGGACGGCCAGGCCGTGGAGGTGGTGACGCTGGAACAGTGACGGGCCCTTTCTAGCCAACTTCAGATTTTATACGCGTTTGCAGAGGTGCAATCAAATGGAATGGAGTCTCTCGACTTCGGAAGAGAAGTTTTGTTAACCTTTTTTTAAAAAGGAAGAAAGACACCGGATTTGGGGATTGCGTTTTTGTAAGCACCGCTCTTCGTTGTCTGGGATCGGTGGAGTCAGAGGCTGCGTTCCGATTCCACTGTCCTGAAAAAGCCAAATTGTGGCCGGACTTCTTTATGCGGGAACGTGTGTGTATGTGTGTGTGTGTGTGTACTCGTGTATGTGTGAGTGTGGGTGTGAGTATATGTATATGTGTACATATGGACATACACATGTACATATATATATAAATCTATCTATATGAGACCCGCATGGAATCCTCTGTGTGAAGTCAAGGTGAGCTCTGAGGAGAGGTCACCCCGTTTAGTGGGTGCCAGGGTACGTGGCCAGACGGGCACCAGTTGTAGTGCACCCCAGGGCCGTGCATTCAGCCGCTGACACGCTCAGGCCGAGGGGACCGTGCCCTGCTCCACAGCTGCCTCCAGGGACTGCCCAGAGCGCTCCCCGCTGGGCTCCCCGAGGACCCCGGGGGGCCACGCGGTCTGGCAGCTCCAACGCTCCTTGGGCTGGCCCGGGTGCTGACCTTGTCCTTGAAGGCCCCCCGGCAGGGACCAGAGGGTGTTCTTCAGCCTCCCTTCCCTTCCCGTCCCCAGGAAACCACCTTGGTCTCATGACTGGACACGTCGCTCCGGTTTGGGGGGCCAGTCCTGGAATGGTCGTGTGAGTGAGCTGACAGTGACAGAAGTACTACGGGGGTTGAGTGGCGCGTGAGTGTGCCTGTGGGTGCATGAGTGTGCGTGTGGGTGCGTGGGGAGGGGGGAGCGTGGGGAGGGCCCGAAGGAGGGCAAGAGGCACCACAGAGACCAGGACACGCACAGGAGCAGGCTTGTCCTTTCCTGGAACTTCCTGGAACTGCGGGTTTTGTTGGGAGAGACCGGGACTGCCGTGTCCCCGCGCCCCAGAGTCGGCCCGCTTCAGGAGAGACTGCGGATTGGGGGTGTATCTCCAGGTCTGTCGGGGGACCCCACCCTGTGGCTTCCCCCTCAGCAGTTGTCTGTGGACTGGGTGGGCTGCCGAGACCCAGCCCTGCGTTGCCTGGCTTCTCGACAGGCCAAAGTTGAGGTCCGTGTGCGCGGGGGACCTCCCTCCCGACCCCCGCATGTGTGATAGTGTATTTAATGTGTTGTTGTTTTTTTAATGCGACATTAAAACATTCTCCATGTCTTGCTCAGCCTTTGAGAAAGTTTCAGATTCTTGTATTTGCTTGTTTTCTATAAAACTAGCCAATGTTCTTTCTATGGGCTTTTTTGCCCCTGCATGAAAGTGGATGGGGGAATTTACAAGTCCACAGTCTCATGTCTGCGGCTGTTATTTCCGAAGTTGTTTCTAATCATCGCGAAGCTGCCACGCTTTCACCATGCTCGGTCCTTCGAGGCGACGTTGCCTCTTCCTTGTCGACACACTGCGCTGCACTCAGCACAGAGCCGCACATGTGGGGCTCTCTCTAGGCGCAAAGCTCTCGGGGTGGCTTTCTTCACTGCTCAGCCTGATCCGTTTTCCACCAGCGTTGAGCGCACACGGCGGCCAGAGAGAGCCTCCTGCCTGCCCTGCCCCAGAGCAGCTCCCCGAGCTACAGGCTGGTTCCGATGGAAGGTGAGTGAGCCCCTTCCCTCCTCCCGTTTCTTGATTCATGTATTAGATGACTGCCCTTTCCTCTCAGTGTCTTCGTAAATCCAGCAGTTGGTTTGAAGAGCTCGACCATCACTTGAACGCTCGGGAATGAGCGTCTGGAGTCACGTGAGGTCACTTGCAGCCTCCTGCTCACAGCAAAGTAAGGTGCACAGAAAATGGGGCCGCCTGTGATGACGTTCTGGAAACATCTCCTGCCCCCCATGCTTACATGTCTTGGCCTAGGATGCCGCCCTCCTTGCCACCTGCGCCCCTGACTGACTTTGTGGGAAGACAGCAAATATGTGTACACACACACACACACACACACACACACACCAGCAGTGTCTCACGTTTCACACTGGTCCTGCTGCTCATAACAGAGGACAATGAGATTTGCCTGTCATCTCACTGGTCAGGTGTCTGTCCGATTTTAGGGCGCAATATGAAAATTTCCAATCAGATGATCAGCTAGCGGCCAGCCATCAAAAATAAAACAGTCTAAGTACCTTTGGCCACATTTCGCTAATGAACTTTGAAATACCGCTATGATGTGTGTGTTCCTTTATTTGTTACTGTTGGTCCCGACTCAGAGCATCACTGTGTAGAACGGAACCCAACTCCACAGGTCCTGAACCAACTGGGGCAGGTCTGCCCTGATGGTCACCCAGTGGAAGTTCAGGAAAGCCACCGTGTGCCAGGTGGGTGCAGCAGGGACCCTGTCCATGAGGGCCAGGAGTAGAGGAGGCAACAGCGTGACCCAGGGCCATCTGGAGGGGGCACCTGGAAGAGCGAGTCTTACCTAGCTCGCCGTTTCCCTGTGGGCTCTCTGGAGTAAGCAGCTTGCCAATCCTCGTCTGCAGCAACTGTTAGTTGTACAACCGAGAAGATCATTACATGGAGTCTTTGTGAATGGACAGATGGGAACTTAGAGGAAGAAGCAGGAGGGGACCCTCCTCGGGCAGAGAAGCTCAGGTCCTGTGCTCCGTGGGCCCCGCAAAACCTGCACCTCCCCTCTGCTCTCTCCTCACATCTGCAGGCTGCTCCTCCTCACTCTTCCCAGTGCCTCAGCTAGTGAACTCCAACCAGCCTACAGGGAGCCCTGCCGTGGGGAAAAGGCTACATGGAGTGGGGCAGACAGCCCACGGGGCCCCTCAGGACATCAGCCGAGGCTGGCCTGCGGTCCTCAGCACAGCTGGTGTTCAGGTGCCAACGTCGACCAGCAGCACAGTCTCGCCTGGCCGTGGCTGTGTGCTCAGCAGGTCACTCAGGATGGTGGAAGTGCGCTAGGGTGGGGAGAGGGGCTGAAGGCATGGCCCTGAGAGGGCAGCAGAAACATCCTTGTCTCCACCTGCCAACTGCTCCCAGTGCTTCTGAGGCTGGAGGCGCGGCCCCAGCTCACTCGGAACTTGAGTTTCTCCCTCCTGAAAATCACCGGCAAGTCAACAAACATCTGTCCATCACCGGAAGCCTTGAGTGTTTCTCAGCAAATGGAGGAGAGGAGGCAGGGGTGGGGCGGTGAAGGGAGGGATAATATGCCCCACAGAATAGGCACCAGGGTCTCTTGGGAATCTGGGACTGACCCAGAGCCACTGTAGGGGACAGGGATAGGCCTGGTCCTGAACCCTGCCTTAGCTCTGCTAGCAAGAACGATGGCTTCGCCACAGGTAGAGGATATACCAGCAACACTTCTATACCACTTGTCTGCCAGTCTGTCATACTGTGGTGGCTTGTGTGTTGTTAGGATGCTGGAAGCGATGTCACTGGTATTTTAAAGGCCAGCAGGGTCACCCAAAGTGAACAGGTTTCAGGTGCCCTTCTAGAGGAAGAACAGAAGAAAAAATATAGTCTGTCCACTTCTGAGGATTCAGTCCCTGCAAGCCTTATGGATTGCACTGAAGCCTCGTCAGAGACTGAAAACCTAACGAACAGAAACAACACTGGCAGAGGCACTCGGCACGCGACAGGACGGACTGCCTTCTCAAAGTGGAGTCAGCACAGCGATGTGCACAGAGCCGCGCCCGCAGGCGTTAAACCTCCGGACCTTCTCTGCTGATGGGCACGGTTCAAACTGAGAAGAAACAGCTGCCAACATCCATTAATAATTGGAACCTAGAATGGACAGAGTTTGAATCTAGAAAAATTGGAAGGTGTCAGAAATTAAATGGAATGCATAAAGATCAATATTCTAGGCTTAGTGAGCTGAAACCGATTGGTGTCGGCTATTTTGAATCAGAAAGTCGTCTGGTTTACTGTGCTGAGAATGACAAATTCAAAGAGGAATTACTTTACATTCATCACCAACAAGGGCATTTCAAGACAGATTTTGAAGTTCAATGTGAGAGGATAATATCGATCCGAATACAAGTAACTAGAATCAATACAACTATTATTCAACTTTGTACACCAACCACTAAAACCACTAGAAATTGAAGAGTTCTACCAGCATCTTCAGTTCAAAATTGATCAAACGTGATCAAGATGCGTTGACGATTACTGGGAATTGGAATGCAAAGGAAAGAGCAGTATTTGGAAATTACGGCTTGGGTGATCGACATGAAGCTGGAGATGACATGATACACTTTTGCAAAACGAACAACTTCTTTATAGCAAATGCCCTTTCCAACAATATAAATAACAACAATACACATAGACTTCTCTGGATGGGATAAACAGAAAGCAAATTGATGACGTCTTTGAGAATAAACTATCGAGAAGCAGCTCAGTATCAGAAGCAGCGGCTGAAACCAGGCCAGGGGCTGCCTGGAGCAGACCGTCAATTGCTCATATGCAAGTTGAGGTTGAAGCTGAAGAAAATGAATAGAAGTCCATGAGAGCCAAAATAAGGTAAAAAAGACAGGGAAGAAACCCTTATCACCTGATCTCCCTTTTGCTGCACTCTGTGCTTGATCTGTTTTTTTAATTCGTTTTATATCTTCTGGGTTTGGGTTTGGGTTTTCACTGTGGGGTTTGTCTGTGTTGTGTTTTGTGGTTGGTAGCCTTTTTAACTGTTGTGTGTTTTTCTGTTTTTCAGTTTGTGAGCCCCAGCACAGGTGAGTCTACAGAGGCAATAACTAGAATAAGGGTTCCTGGTTGGGCAGGGGGGTGGGGGTAAGGGGGGGCTGATATCAAGGAGTTTAAGAAGGAAGAAAATGTTTTGAAGCTGTGGTAGTGATTATTCAACATGACTTGATATAATTGAACTATAGGTGTCTGGATGATGTCTGGATTAGCTCCTAATAAAATGGATTTGGGGGTCGTGGGGGGTCAAAGTGGATTCAGGAGAGACTGAAAGTTGCTCTTAATCGTAGAGTAGCTAAGGCAAATCGGAAAAAAGTGATGTCAAAGAGCTAAACAGAAATTGCCAAAGGGAAGCTTAAGAAGACAGAGTCAAATATTATAATGGAGTGTGCAAAGTCCTAGTGTTAGAAAATCAAAAAGGACGAACACAGTGGATCTTAAACGAAAGAACTAAAAATGTAAAAATAAAAAACAATCCTCAAGTTGCAATATTGAAAGATACTGTGGGCAAAATACTGAATGATGCCGGAAACATCCAGAGCAGAGGGGAGAACACAGAGTCAGTGTCGGCATCCCACCATCTCCAGAGGTAGCATGTGAGCAAGATGCTGCGGCGGGGGCCATGAAGGAAGGGGCCAACCAGTGGCACTGAAGAGGTTGAAGATGCGCTGAAAGCATGGTCCACAAACAGGGTTCCAGGCACCGATGGATAGATACCAACGGAAACGTCCCGGCAGGTTGATGAAGTCCAGAAGCACTCGTCTGCACCCATCCTAAAGCAAGGTGACCTGACGGGATGCTCAAGTCACAGAACAGTTTCCTTAATACCACATGCAGGTAAAATTCTACTGATGATCAACTACATTGACAGGGAGTTGCCACAGGTTCAGGCCGAATTCAGAAGAGGACGTGGAACAAGGGCTGTCATTGCTGACGTCAGATGGAGCCTAGCTGAGAGCAGAGGCCAGAAAGAGGCATTTGACTGTGTGACTCATAACCAGCTAAGTAGCCTAGAGAAGAGTGGGAACCCCAGGACATTAGTGTGCTCATGTGGAACTTGTACGTGGACCAAGAGGCACTTGTGCACACAGAGGAAGGGAATATGTCATGGTTTAACATCAGGAAAGGTGTGCAGCAGGGTTGTATCCTCATACTTATTTAATTCCACAAGAGAGATTTGAAGGTAGGGCCATTCATGTAGTGGGGTTCTTGAATCCCAAGGGAGGTAGTGGGTCAGTGTGGCTCCCGTTCTACCACAAGGAAATGGACAGTGGAGGCTGGGGCTCCGGTCGGCAGAGCTTGGCTACTTCCTATAGGAGCCTATAGCCACGGGCCTCACTTTCCCCAGCCTGGGTGGGATGGAGCTAGGCGCACTCACCACTTTCAAGGAATGATGGACAAATCCTGGACTCTGAGCTGCAATCACCTGGGTGGGGCCTGAGCAGCAGTGAGGGGTGCCATTTCCTGAGAGCAGAGACCCCCTACCCATCCAAAGCACAGGCACTGACCAGCAACCCCTACCCCCACCCCATTCAGCCCAGC